TATAACACAATTGTGCAGACTAAACTCATAACAGGAAACAAAGCCCCAAACACATGTCCAATCACAGGATTGTTGAAAGCAGATTCTGCAGCTCTCCCTGCACCACGGAGGCCAGTGTGGGCTGGCCTGGTCAGAAGAGGTTTCCCTCAGGAGGCAGGCCCTAAACTGCATCTGGGAGAAGCTACATTGGGAGAAGACAGGCCGTCCCAGGCAGGAGGAGTGCGCGGCCGTGATAGATGGGACGTTTGCAGACAGCAAGACAGTGCTCTCTGAGCTCTCCTTCTAGAACTCTTCCTCTTTTTTTAAAAAAAATTTTTATTGTTATGTTAATCCCCATACATTACATCATTAGTTTTAGATGTAGTGTTCCATGATTCATTGTTTGTGCATAACACCCAGTGCTCCATGCAGAGCGTGCCCTCCTCAATACCCACCACCAGGCCAACCCATCCTCCCACCCCCCTCCCCTCTAGAACCCTCAGTTTGTTTTTCAGACTCCATCATCTCTCATGGAAGAACTCTTCCTCTTGATAGGCACTTAGCTAATTTCCCCAACTCCTTCAAGTCTTTGCTCGAATATATCTTTCCAGTGAGGCCACAGTTCTCCCCAGCATTCCCAGGCCAGGTACCCCCTCTCTCTTTCTCTTTTTTTCTATAGCAATTACCATCTTCTATGAAATTTACTTATCTGGTTAGTTTGTTTGCTGTTCCCTGCCCCTAGAATGTGAGCTCCTCAGGGGGCACCTTCTCTGCTCTGATTGCTGATGTATGTCAGGCCACTAGAACAGTGCCTGGCATGTGGTTGAGGCCCAAGAAGTAGTTTTTCAGTGAATGAATGAGAAGGATAAAGAAAGGCTGTGCTACTCTGGAACTCTTCGGGCTTGCTTAGGACAGCAGTGTTGAACAACTCCAGAGGCACCATTCACGTATCTCGATGTAAGTCAAGGTCCCCGGTGTTGTGGGACACAGCAGGCAGCCCTATAGAGGAGTTGATGATTAGTGGGTTCAAATGTCACTTTTTTCTGTAAAGACCAATAAAGTTTCCATAAAGGGTAAGTTCTTTGCTCTCTCCTAAGGGCAGGTGATTAGACGGTATTAAAAATTTTTTTAACTCTTTTTATTCCTGTGAAAGAAGACAAAAATCCAAATTGTCTTTAAGACACGAATCTCATGTAACCATTTCTTGTGATGAGGTCTGCAGGGAGACATAATGAGAAATGGTAACATGAGGTTCGTGTGTTAAAAGCAATTTGGTGGGCGCCTGGGTAGCTCAGTCATTAAGCGTCTGCCTTCAGCTCAGGTCACGATCCCAGGGTCCTGGGATCGAGTCCCACATCGGGCTCCCTGCTCCGCGGGAAGCCTGCTTCTCCCTCTCCCACTCCCCCTGCTTGTGTTCCTGCTCTCGCTATGTCTCTCTCTGTCAGATAAATAAATAAAATCTTAAAAAAAAAAAAAGCAATTTGGTTTTATAATCCTAATTTCTACAAGTCATTTCCTATTCCCATAACTGGAAAGATCTCCGCTCTCCTCATCGGGATTCGTAGAGACCAGTGGCTCTGAAAGTGTTGTCCCTAGACCAACAGCATCATCATCACCTGGGAACTTGTTAGAAATACACCCCAGACGTAATGAGTCAGCAGCTCTGCAGCGGGGCCCATAGGTGATTCTGATGCGTGCCCAGGTTGGAGAACCATTGTTAGAGATCATCCTCTGTTGGGAAAATTTCTTTCTATCGTCTTTACATTCCTAGTAGCTAAGAAGATGTTGAAACATACATTATGTAATTTGTTGTATATAAATAGTTGGGTATCTTACTCCAAATATAAAACTATTATATGGAAGGACATCCCTCCCAGGAGATCCTGCTATATCCCCCTGCCTTGCCCTTTAGATAATTCCTGGACTAGAGAATGTTTAAGAGCCCTAAATGATCTGGAAGGCCCTTTCCTGGTCTAATAATCTGGGAGGGTAAGGATAATACTAAGCTTACACATCACTACTGCATTTCTATGCATATGGCCTTCCCCTGAAAATTATGCATAAGTTCCCCAAGGCTTGTTTGATTTAAGAAGCACTTTCTAGAACCATGCCTAATCCCAGAGAAAACCAAATTAACGCTCCCCACAAAGTCATATGGAATCACACTCTTAGGAACCATGAATACTTGTTGAAGCTAAGGAAGATTTGCTTGCCTTTGACTCTGGGAGTGTCCATGGTCATGAAATTCCTTGGAAAGACAGCATCAGTGCCGATAACTATAAAACCCTAGAGTAATAGAAAGCAGAGAGATACTCATGTCTATGCTCAGTAGAACATATGGGCCCCAGATCACATTGTAACAGTGAAATATAAATTAAAAGTGATCACCAGAACTCATTCGAAGCCTTGATTTTTTTCCAGTTTTTCTTACATGGCATGTGTTAGGTTAGTACCCAAATAACAAACATACCTTCCAAAAGCCCTGAGAGGGTTAGCCATTAATTCAGATGGTCTTGGTCAGAGATTGCAATGTGGCAAGGCTGAGGAAATTATAATGTAATTATGGCTAGTTCACTACATGTGTTAAATGCTCTTTCTCTAATACTTAGGGTCACTATGCCCTTTTCATATTCTTGGACTAAAACCTGGACATGTGTTTGTCTCTTTACGAAGCTTGTTGAGATCCAAGAAATGCTAAAGTTGCGGAGTAGTAACTTACCAATGTTTTGTGTGTGTGTCTTGTTTTCTTTGTGATCAGAGTATGGGTCACAGTCATTGTCTGTAGAGTGTTGGTGTAGTTAACAGCTGGCTCTCCAGATGAAAAAGGCGCAGTTTGTAGCATTTGCCAATTTCCATGGTGTAAATATTCTCATCATGACCAATTTCAAGCTCTCAGTTTGACATCATTGCATGGAAAATCTGGGAAAGATACACACAAACGGCACTCTTGGATTGGTGCAAGCCGGCTCTAACACATCATTGGAATGTCGAAAATTTGGAAAGCAGAAAAAAGGATTAAAAAAAAAAAAACCCACATAATATTGCTGCTGGGAACAAAAATCAGCTTTAACATTGGATTTTATAATACTTCCTTACAGTATTTTGTCTGTTTTATATAACGATCATTCTGTATGTTTAATTTTGTGTTCTGCTTTTATCTTCGTGGACTTCAGTTTAATGGTTGCATAATAGTCCATCAAATTGATGTAAGATCATTTATTAGCCCTAGCTGGGGACACATAAATAATGTTCCCTCATTACGGTTATTGCTACAAATAATGCTCTGTACTATTAAAACATTGGGTATAAATCTTCCTTCACCTCTCGGGCTGTTTCCTTAAGACAGATGCTAAGATCAAACGGCTTCAGCTATGGGTCTTCCCAGATCCCATCTAGAAAGTTTGTGCCACTGTGTACTCCCAACAACAGCGCTTATGAATGCCTCTCTCACTGTACTTTCACTACTACTCCTTGTTAGTCTGATAAGTTTTTTTAAAGTTTGACATTGCATTTCCTTGCTAGCATGCTGAACATCATTCATTCTCATTTCTATTTCTCCTTTTTTAAATCTTTTTCTTCGCATCAAGGGCTGCAACGTGAGGCAGTCCCCCCTCACTCATTAGGTAACTTCTGCACTAGAGAATGTTTAAGAGCCTTCAGTGATCTGGTCGGCCCTTTCCTTGTTCTAAGGAACGTACCCCCTCTCTTTCCTCATACTGCTGCTTCCGTCTTGTTTCTCTTCTCCAGGCCCCAGGCTTGTGCCACTCTAGTCCCCCTCTTCTCAGACCATCCAGGCACACCCTGGGGCAGCTGGGTTCTTCCCCCACGTATCTGCAGGGCTCCTGCCCTCCCTCCTTTCGAAGCTCTTTACAAGAGCCCTCTCCAAGAGGCTTCCCCAGCCCCTTCGCCTAAGGTCGCGGTCCCTCCTGTTCGAACCGCCTCCCTGCTCTGCATTGCTCTTCCCCGCAGTATTAGCCACCACTGACATGGGGTATTGCAGGGGTTCACAGGCTGCCTCCCCTCTAGAGTAGACATTCTATACAGCAGTAGTCCTAGAGCCTGGAGGAGCATCTGACGCTCCGTAAATACTCATTGGGTGAGTTGGTGTACTCCAGCCATACCTGTAAAGGTTTAGTTTTGTCTTGATAAAAGCAAAATCAGTTCATATGCTCTCTTTAAACGCTATTTGCAGTATCTGTAACAAATATTGTTCTGTATTTTTAAGGTATTATGTTTTTATAGAAGCAGAAGGTTGATATTTTTCTGTACCTAAACCTCTCATTGTGATTTTTCCCCAGATTACACCCACAATTCTTTTTCATAAGGAGATCAGATAAATTTGGCCTATTCTTTATTCTTACATTTTTATGGTTTGATTTTTTTTATGGAACTCTTTAATATATAAAGAATTATTTTGTTGCTGTGATAAAATGAAGATCGAAATTAGGTTGGGTTTTTTTTTTTTTCATGCAACTTACCATTGGGTTTTTGTTGCTGCTAATGACGTGAGTTTTGCTTTGAATCCTGCTCCATCCTATTTTAAAACTTAACCTATGTATTTTCCTGTCATGTACAATCTATAGGCACCAAATCTCAATGGATATTTCTCAGTTATCTCCAGGATATTTTCCTAGTCCTGTGTCTGTATTTTAAAAGCACCTTCCAATCTGGACCAAATATACTTGAGTTTGTTTTTGTTATCACTACAAGTTCTGATAAGATACAGAGCAAATAAAAGGAAGTATAATAGGAAGCTGGGTTCCCAGAAGTAGAAACATCAAAGACTGAAGTCCAGTCCTCCTCTAGCTGTGTTTTCCGGAATCACCTGCCAGGTGTTATCAGGATTGGAGAAGTCACCGTCTTATTGACTCTCTGTTAAGCCCAATGCCTGACCCACCACTGTTGCTTAATAAATACTTGTAAATTGAATTGCATTGAACCTTAGGGTGTGATGCCTTTCCCGGGAAGTATTCCGAGGGACAGCTTTCCTTTCTCATGTGTCTTCTGTTTTCTCCTCTTAGTTGCGGTCCAGCGCAGAGCTCCATCCTGACCTGCTCACAGACTGCCTCACTGTGCAGCCCCTGCAGTCGGCCACCTCCCCGCGCGATGCTGCTGCTGATGGGGCGGTGGGACGCTCCCCCGGGCCTGGGCCTGACCTCTATCCAGGTAACCACAGCAGAGGCCACGTCAGCTGTCCGCCTCTATGCCCTTCGCTCTGGTTCGAAGGAACGCTCACATGAGAACAACTCTCCTAAGATCATCTGTATTTTGCTTTCTTGATGAGCTACAAGTTGCCCCCTCCCCGCTTCCCATCTGATTTCCTGAGCTGAGTTGGCAGCAGACTGTTTTTTCTCATAAAGAAACATAGTAAAATAATGCATTAGCTCTCTTAGTTCTGGACTTCTGCCAAAAGTCCAGTGCACCCGGCTCTCCCAGGTATCTTAAATTTATTAACTTGATTTAGACCCAAAGGAAATGTTTCCCTCTTAGTCAAGTAACAGGCTGCATGTGGATTTCTTAATGGAACAGTTATTGTCATGTTTGCATTTCAAAAGGAAGCCCCAGGCCTCTAAGAAAAACCTCACATCAGTCAGCCACCTTGTAAGAAGGGTTTATCAGCCGCTGGGTGGGGGGTTGGTAAGGCACTCCCAGACCAGCGTCCTTCTGCCTGAGTTTGAAGAATAGGTGACTCTATATGTGGAAAATTTCATCTATGTAATGAAAAATAGGAAAGGATTAATATGCAATAAGGAAGTTATTTTTTTCGTTTACTTTGTTAGCCTGGATTTTTGTGCATTTTCCACTCTCCATAATGATTATGGACTTGTGCAAACATAATTGGTTGTCATCCTCACATATGGAAAGCTCTTACTGTCACGCTATGAATATGAAAGCAAAAGTCCCAGCAGCTCCACACTCCAGACAATGGGGATTTTCTATTATCTGTTGATCGCAGGTCCCACTGCCCCCCCATCTGATTCCAGAGCCAGGTTTTGGCAGCAAATTGCTTCTTTTTTCTTTTTAAAAGTACTAATAAGCCATAGAGAATTAAGAACTTACCGATGCGTAACACTAGAACAGGAAAAGCCATGCTTGTGTAACTTTTTTAACTCAACAGTTCGCAGCTGATCCAAATGCAGGGGAAAGGGCATTAAGCAAATATTTTGAGAGGGTCTGTCATCAAGACATCCTTAATGTTGACCCATCGGTGGTGGGCCCTGCTCAGTTGCTCTGGGTACTTTCTCTTAGAGACCCTAAGAGATCTGAAGGGCGGACCAAATCTTACAGAGGTTTTGGGTACAGGTACATAGTCACACATGAAATATACCAAAGCACAATGTTATCAACTCCCATAAATATTTTGTACTAGATATATACATGAAAAAGCATGACTTGTTTTTGTTTGCACATATGTCTGCTTGATTTGCCAAATATTTGATATATGAACATTTATTCTAGCACATTTAATTAACAATCGGTTTACAGCAGCCTATACAACATTTCCCTTCTTACTTCAGTCCAGAAATCCATGATCTTACTAAAGGTCTGGTACCCAGCAGTTAAGAGTCAAAGCTAACCAGAACCGATTGAAGAGCGGCCCAGCATCGAATATAGGTAGTTTATGGTAATGGGCTAGTCTTACTGCATTTACACTTGGAAATGGGTTTGGGAAGCCGCGATATCTCTATCTGTGGAAAACATGAGTATCTTCGCTGTGTGTAGCCTAGAGTGAACTTAGGAGTCACATTTGTCTTGGTGTGTGTTTTGTACATCTGGTAGTTTTGTTCAAGTTTTTTAAGAGGTTTATGTTGAACCAGCTTTGTCACTCCAGACAGATCTCCTTTTTTTGTTCATGACACTTTTTTTCTGTATTTGGTCTTCAAAACGATTACGAACTCTTAGCTTTGAACCTCCAGCTGTGTCAGGCGAGCTGCCGCAATGGGCAGGGAGCCTAAGTTGTCACAGTGTCAACAGAGCATCTTCAGATTGACTGGAATTTTCTGTGACTCTGGAGACATTTGAAACAGGCAGGTGGACATGCTGTTGAACTCTGTTCTTGGAATTTTACTTCTCGAGTCAGTGTGTAGCTGAAAGTTTATGTTGCCTACTTATTTCTTCTTTCCTCTCTCCCTCGGGTCCAATTTTCCTTTCTTTGTTCTTGCCTTTTTGAAAAATTGATTAAGTCTTCTGTTTCGCTGAATACATAACAAACCCAGAGCAGAACAAAGCAGGAGGAAAAACTACAAAACAGAACGTTAAACCTTCCTGCTAAAGTTCTAGAAATGCACGTGCCAGGACTGCATGTTTCTACCGGTTTCAGACCTGTGCTAAAGATCTATGGAAGGAAGCCAAACAGTGAAAAATGCCAAGGGAAAATGAAGCTGTTCATCAATTAGTTAAATGTAAACTCTGAAGTGTTAAGGCAATTTGACGAAGATTGAGACTTGGCTAGATGGAGCCATTCCTTTTACCTTCTGCTACATGACGTCGAAGAAAATATTTGTGTAATGATTGTCAAGCACTTATACTTCTAAGTGCTAGTAAATTGGTTTATCATAAAAATATTTGGAGGGAAACCTGTTGAGTCCGTATGAATGTAGGATCAGAAGCAGGTTAGCGATGGGCACCAAGATATTTTAGAAGCCACACGACTGAAAACTCAGAGTTTGAAGAAGTCATGGTTTTGAAATGGACATTTTAGTGGCTTACACAGTTTGTGAGATTCCAAGAGAGGGATAGTTTGCAGAGCACTAAGAACAACAGGGAAGGTGTCCTTTCTGACACATACAAATCTTACAAATCTCCTAACATGCCAGCTTCCCTTATTGAGACCATTTTCAGTTGATGAGGCAGAATTTGATTGGAAAGGGTTGCCAGGAAAGACTTATTTCTGTGGAAGGAAATAGTGCTCCAGGTTCAAGCAGCTAAAATATCACTTGAGGCTATGCTGAGGACTACTTTAAATTGAGGTGTTTACTTGCCTACTATTCTGAAAATCCCAGGGCTCCCCAGACCCGATCCTGAGCTAACTTGAGAGCAATTTTGTGACCTAATGGAAAGGCCAGGACAATGATGAGCAATTCTCAAGGACAGCTCACTTACATTTTCTGCCCTTTTGTTCAGAAGTTCTGTATCCTAGATATCTAGATAATGCTCCAGACTAGCCTATAAATTGAGGTGACTTATCTGATCATCTGAGGGAGAAGTATTTCACAGTCTGTAGATCAAGGTTTTGATCTTTTGAGCTTTAATGCCTGCAAAGAAGGTCTTTTTGGCTTCCTCGATGAACTAATGAAGCAGATGAGGATACAATGAGTGAGTCTGCAATACCATGAGAGTCTATTCACTAATGAAGAATGCTGTATGGGAGAGGATCTGTCCCACGGGTGGTCACAAAAATTATGGCTCCCTCCAAACCAAAACTGCCTACAGATTCAGTAAACCATGATCTTTGCAAATGGCCTTAGCCATGAATACATCACATAGAGGCCAGTGTGGTTGGGATGTTCGAGTCCCACGGAAACCACCCATAGGGTGAGCAGCTCATGCAGCTAGAACAAGAAAATGTGCAAGAATGGGGGAATTTTACTGGTACCGCTTTTGAGTTATAAAATAATTACCATGTTTTAGAACTTGCGAGTTCTGTTGAGTGATTTTTTATTTTGAATGTAATTAGATTTTTCAGGAGGAAATGTAAGTGTGATGCTCAGATATTATAGAGAATTGTGGAAAGACAACAAAGACTTTTTTTAGGGCAGGAATTTTTGAAGTCATATATTGTCATTCCCTTCCCTTTGCCCTCATTACTGGGAAATAAAGCCTTCCCTCTCACAATATCATCACATTTTGTAATAAGTAGCACCATATTAAATCTATGCAAGATTTAACATACCTCATGAAATAGTTAATGCTGCATTTTAATGTAATTTGTGATATATGTTTTAATACTTTTCTATATTTTTAAGTTGAATACATTTGCTATCTTGGAGCGGCTTGCAGAGTTGTAGGGGTTAGAAATAATTTTATATAAAAGTACCTCATACAGTCTACTTGCAAACAGTGGTTGTTAACTTAGGGACTTTATTAGAAGGTTCTAAATTGACATACAAATTTCCCAGTAGGTTAAACTTCACAGAATTGTGAAGATTAAATAACCTGATCTATATAAAAGCAGGCATAGAGCATTATAAAAAATGCAGTAGATATTACTTGCATGATCTTCAAAAGCAGTGATTTGCTTAGAATTCACCAGAGGTGAAAAAGGGACAGAGGACTTGGAACTGGCTGTGGCCAGAAGGAGGCAGACACTGGGCTTACAGAAGTGGTTGAAAGGGAAACATTTGGCAGTGTCTTTTCCGTGTCCCTGCTCACATTGCCTTGAACTGCTTGTCAGAATCTTGTATTGTTCTTCACATCTCTTACATCTGTGGTTCATCTGTTGAGTTGGATTGGGAAATCAGTGAGGGGGGCACCTGGGTGGCTCAGTTGGTTAAGCGTCCGACTCTCGGTTTCCACTCAGGTCATGATCTCAGGGTTGTGGGATCAAACGCCGAGCTGTCAGGCTCCCTGCTCTCTCTCTGTGGAGTCTGCTTCTCTCTCTCCCTCTGCCCCTCCCCCTTCTTGCGCTCCCTCTCTCTCTCTCTCTCTAAAAAATAAATAAATCTTAAAAAAGAAAAGAAAATCAGTAAAGGCAGCAGCAAGTCCTACTCTTCTCAGTTGCAGGCACTGATAGTTTTAACCTCTAGATTTCGCCTTCCACGGCCCTGAGTCAGTCCATTCGTTTGCATCAGATCACCTGGAAAACCTGGGAGAATGCAGATTGCTGAGTCCCACTCCCGGAATTTCTGACTCAGTACATCTGAGTTAGTCCCAAGAATTTGAATTTCTGCCAGGGATTTTTTAACAAATTCTCAGGCGACACTGGGTGCTGTTGGTCCAGGAAACACACTTTGAAAAGTACTGCTCTTGATCGTAAAATGTGGGAATGTTCTTGAAAAACATGATCTCAGTTGTGACAGGTGGGAGTTACGATAAGAATTGCCCATAATTAACTAGATGGGTGGGGGGAGGAACCTTTCACAATGTGTAGATAATATATCAAATCGCCATGATGTACACTTGAAAATACCTTATAGTCTTTTTTTTTTATTAAAGATTTTTATTTA